AATTAGAATAGAATAGAATAGAATAGAAATGAATAGAATTAGAATAAGAATTAGAATAGAATAGAAATAGAAATAGAAATGAATAGAATTAGAATAAGAATTAGAACAGAATAAGAATTAGAATGAAATAGAAATAGAAATAGAAATGAATAGAATAGAATAAGAATAAGAATAAGAATAAGAATAAGAATAAGAATAGAATAGAATAGAATAACAAGAGTTGGAAGGGACCTTAGAGGTCTTCTAGTCCAACCCCCTGCTTAGGCAGGAAACTCTACACCACTTCAGACAAACGGGTTAGCAAATATCTTTTTAATTGTTTAATTAAAATTTAATGAATTGTGCCGTGACCAAATTAGTCAATTTAATCCATTGTAATCAAGAAATCTAAATACATTTTAATAAGTAATCCTTGGGGAGAAACTGGCTCCCAGAAATTCTTCTGAAATACAGTAGTTTTGTGGTGTGGGTGTGTGTTTTTTTTTTTTTTTTCCTCTAAACCTTGGAACCAGAAGCTTGCCAAGCACCTTGTAGGGAGAGAAAAATGAGGAAATGCAATTCAATGTTTGAATTAGGTCAGAAAAAAAAAAAATGGAAAAGAAGGAGGAAAGAACGAACGAGGTTGGCTCGGCTTCAACTGCACCAAAAGTCAGCCCGTGTCGGTGATGCGGTGAGCGGAGAAAGAAACCCAAGAAATAAATGGAACTAAAAAGAAATAAATAAAATATTTGTGTTTTCCTCTTTTCGTGCTGCTTCGGGGCCGAGAAGATGGAGCTGCGTTCGTTTAATTCCTGGAGGCGTAGACTCGTGAGATGTGAAAGCCAGGAAGGGGGACACGAGTGGTCATTTAGACCAACCCCTTGCTAAACGTCACTCTTGTAAAAACCGCTGTGAACAGGGAGTCCTCGCCGTACGACCACAACGGAACCCCAAGCGAGACATTCGTTCAGTGACTTTTGTCCCCAATCTTTCTTGCCGCGGTTATTAAGTGAGGGACACGGTTGTTAAGTGAATCTGGCTTCCCCGCGGACTTGGCTCGTCAGATGTTCGCCCAACGGGGATGACGTGACCTCCGGGAGTCCACTGAGACCATCATAAATACGAGTCAGTTGCCCAGTGCCTGAATTTTGAGCGTATAATCCTGCAACGGTCGTTAAGTGTGAAAAACAGTCATAAGTCCCTCTTTTCAGTGCTGTTGTAACTTTGAGCGGTCACTAAACAAACCGTTCGAAGTCGAGGACTACCTGTATTACATCCTAAGTCACGAGGCCGATTAAATTTAATTCAATTAAATCCCCGTATGAACCTGCCCGATTTGCTCACCTGTTATTTTTAACAACGGTCATTAAACGAACGCCGACATCATTAAGCCAAAGGGGTGGTCGTTAAACAAACCCAACGGTCGTTAAACCAGCCCCCTTGGAAATCAGAAATCAATGCTGATTTTTCATCCAAATAACACAAAATATGGTCCGTGTTGAACGTGGGAAACTACAAACGGACGTCAATCCGGGATAGTGGCCAGGTGGGTAAATATGACCACATGACCAGGGATAGGGGGGAAGCCATCATAACTTTGAAACAGGGTTTTAGGTAGTCCTGCAGAGGTCCGTCGCAACTTTAGCAGCTAAGTGATCGGTCGTAAATCGAGAACGAGCTGTAAATTTGTGCGGAAACCAGGTCTGGCGTCCGAAGAGGCCTGATTTCTGTGCAAGTTAGAGGTAGTCCTCGGCTTACGACCGACAGGTGACCTTCAAACAGGAAGCTTCCCTTTCGCTCAATTTGCCCCACCCAAACGGCGGAACAAAGCCACAAACTCAACTGAAGTTTATCCTAAATTGAGTAACAAGGAAGCAGACTGAAAGGCTGGAGAATGGCCGCCCGTCATCGGCCCCAAGAATGTTGATTTATTTATTTTTTGACACGCATCGGGCTTCTTGACGGGGCGCTCCCCGTTCGAGTTTCGTCCTGATGCCCAAAGTCAGATGGGACTATGGGCGAGTTTCGCATCGCAGGCGATGAACGGTTCGCGAATAATGTGGTGCCTCTGAGTGGGTCCGGGGGTCAGTTCCAGGGATGGGCTGCTGGGAGTTCGCACGGGTTCGGAAGAACCTCTAGCTAAAATTCTGTGCAGTTCGGAGAACCCCCCAAATCCCACTCCTGGCTGGCCCCGCCCCCCCAGCCCCGCCCCTCCCAGGAGTCTCCACGCGGCCCGTTTTGGATGCAGGTAAGTGCAGGACGTGCGCCGACGCTCGGGGAGGGCGAAAAAAAGGCCTACCGGAAGTTCGGGAAGGCCAGAAATGGGAACGTTTCCAGCCTCCAGAGGGCCTCCAGAACCTGGGGAGAAAGTTATCGCCCTCCCAGAGGCTCAAGGAAATCCTCCGGAGCCTGGGGAGGACAAAAACAGCCTCTCCACTCATCTTGACAGGGGGAATCCTGGGAGTTGAAATTCACCCTTGCTGGCTGGGGAATTCTGGGAGTTGAAGTCCATCTATGGAACAGGACATAAAGCTATTTGAATGAACGAAGAAGGATGCTCCGATGTGCGAATTTAATGATTCCCAGGACAGCAGTAGCCAGTGGTTTGTTCCTCCCTTCTCCAAACCCAGTTGTTTTGGGCTATTGCCCCCTCCCAGTGTACAAAGAACATTTCCCCCCTTTTAATTTATATTACAAATAGACATTACCCAGAGGGAGTATCAGAGACACAACAGTAACTTTAGACGGACTACAAGTCCCCGGAGGGGGCTCAGTAGCTTTGAACGGCTGCACGAAGCAACAAACAACTTTAACCAAGAAACGGAAAGAGACAGAAGCCTTAACGATCCCAGAAAAGCAAAAAATTCCAAACATTTCCCTCTGCAGCAAAACTCAAATTTCTTGAGAGAGAAAAAAAAGAGAAAGAATTTATTCTGTAGAATCGTAAGGTCACGGCGCCCTCTATTGGCTCAGATTGGAACGACACCTTCCGTTCAATTTTTTTTTTAAAAAAAAAACTTCAACCAAAGCCAACAATTAAAATTTTTATTCGTTTTTATTTATTTTTAAGTTAACAATCTGGCCAAAGAAATGGAAAGAAAAAAAAAAAAGAGGGGCAGGAGGAGGAACGTAGCAAGGTTTCTAGCCCGTCGGACTCTCTCTGTCCGTCCGTCCCTAGGTCCGTTTTTTTTTAAACCTAGGCCGGGGATTGCGTACGAGGTGCGAGCCAACTCTACGTGGTGTTCTCTCCTCAGGAAGCAAGATTCTAGTCCTTGGTGTGGACTCAGAAGGGCAGGGAGGGGGAGGCCTAATTAAAATTTAAAAAAAAAGAAACCAACAACATTATTAGGTGTGTGTGTGGATGGAGGGAGAGTCCGCCAAATTGAGCGGCTTTTCTGAGGCAACCCGCAGAGATTGTCATGGCGTTGTTGGATTTTTTTCGAACTCACAACCTGTGCTTGGTTTTTGGCTGGTCCGCTCGCTTTCCTTGAAAAAAAAAAAAAAGATCCCTCGGTGATCCCTCTAATCTCCGAGCCCCCCTCCACCCCGAGGGGATTCACACCGGCCTCGTGAGGGCCTCCGGTACCCCTTTTCTTTTTTCGCGACCACAAATTCCGCAACAACACCGACGCACAATCCAGCATGGCTCTCGTCGCGCACGCTGAGAAGAACCGAGACCAAAATAATAATAATTTTTAAAAAAACGGGCCCCAAGAAGGAAGTTTGATGAAAACAGGGCTAATTTAGGGAAGGGGTTTGCAGAGGGGGTGGGGGTTAGGGGATATATTCTACCAGGCACCATATTGTCACAAAACACCTCAACACTTACAAAACAGTTCCCTTTTTCAGAAACCAAACCAAAACCACCTCTCCTGGGCACTGAACCCTCACGGGCTCTGCACCTGTTGGATTTCACTCCGTTCAGCCTGGGAAAGGGCGCTCGACGTCCAGTCACAGGTAGCAATTTGGCTTACGACCGTAATGGCAACCGGAATTTCCACTCGTTAAGCGAGCGCCATCTTTCTTTCTTTCTTTTTTTTTTGTGGGTGCTGGGTCGTTCATCCGATCACCATGGTTGTTAAGCGAATCCAGCTTCCCTCGTGGATGTTGGGTTATGGGAAGACAACCCGGGAACGGTCGCAAACGGCCCACGATCCCAGGGAATTTGCCGCCTTCGTCAATTCGTGCAGATGGCCAAGCGCGCAAATTTTTAATCACGCCGTCATGGAGACAATGGGGCAGTTGCAAAAGTCACTTTTTTTTGTCGTTATCTTGGAAAGTCGTTAAAAAAGAATTGTCGTAAATCGATGATTTGTCACATCCTTGTTTGGGACCACCCCCCACCCCCCGCCGTTTTTCCACGGTGGAAGATCAAACGGATCCCGAGCTAAACCGGAAATTCAGGATGTCAAACCAGCTTTGGCGTAGAAGAAACCGAGAAGCAATGCCCAACAAAAACTTGGCTGTCTTTAGTTTTACGAGAAGGAATTTTTTGGGAAAGAAAATCTAGCATTCTTTTAAATGGGGAAAAAAAGAGTAATTTTGATTCCCGGTTAGGGAATTAGGGGGAATTCATGCCCCGTTTTCAGCTGAGAAATTTAGGCTGTGAAATCCTGCTTAGAAACCATTTGCGGGTTTCGGCGATAGCTTCGGGCCGGGGATCGACACTTAGTCGCGCCGGGGATCGACACTCGGTCGAGCCAGAAAGAAGCAAACTCTGGCGAGGAAACAGTCGGAAATTTTTAAAACGTGGTTATCTTCCCAGCTGCTCATAGTTTCTGAGAGACGATACAATTATAGGTAGCCGCGTGTCACAACCGCCGAAGAAAAATTGGAAGTTGCCAAAATTAGGAAACAAGTTACGGAGCGATTCACAGGAGCGGTAAATTTGAGGAGCGTGACAAGTGACTTTTTTTAAAAAAAGAGAGATTGATTAAAAACGAGGACCCAGGGGGACCGATTGTACCTAACGGGGTAAAAGACAGGAATGAAGAGAGGGTGGGTTTAAGATGGGGGTTTTAAAATTTTTTTTTTTTTTATCTTTTTCAACACAAAAAGTGTGGGGGGGAAAGGCATTGGAAGCCATTCCAAACTCAGCCATGCTCCAAACAAGGATTTGGGGGGGGGAAGGGGTCGTGTTTGTCTTTTCTCAACTGAGATTCCTGCCCTGGACAGGAACGAAAAGGGTGGGGAAAATCTGGATTTCCCCCCAGAAGTTTAGGGGGTGCGTTGAAGAAGATGAGAACAAAACAGAGAAAGGACGTTGGATAGTTTTAAAAAATCCCCCTTCATGGGACGGCTGTGGGGGGGAAGTTGCTCTTAGTCCCCACAGCTGGGATGCTCAATTTTTATGGGAAGAGGGTACCGCCGCCGTCGGAATTTAAAGAGTCTATCTGTTGGAAGTTCACTAGAGGGCAGCATTGCTCAACATATGCTCTGCCCTGTTCCTAACTGCCGAAACCCTCTGCTCATTCACCCCATACCTAGAGATATTTTTTTCATTTTCTTTTTTTGCAAGCAGGGGCTGGAGAGCCCCCACCCACCCACCAGACCCCAAGGTCTCCCTCTGCTGGTGGATCCTCTCCCCGAACATGCTCGGAATCGGCCGATGGCAAATTCAGTCCAGCTTCGAGAAGCCGCTGATGGTTACTTTCCGTTCCTGACGGCTGACCACCAGCTCTTGAAGGTGCAAGGCGCCGCCGCCGATGAAGCAGAAGGCCGGGCAGACGGGCCCCGAGCAGTCTACCCCGCACTCCCAAAGGCTGCGGAAGGAGACGGCGTCGAAGAACGTCACTTTGCTGTGCTCGTAGTCGAGACAGATGCCAACGCGGGGAGGCAGCGGCACGGTGGAATTGCCGGGATCCCGAGAGGTCAGCGACACTCCGTGGGAAAGGAGGATCTTGCCCATGCCGATGGTCAGGAAGGCGAAGGGTGGTGATGACTCCAACGTGGTATCCTCAGCACCGCTGTCGTGCCCGCTATCCGGATCGTACCTGTGCCGGAGAAAAATGACTCGAGGTAAAATACAGATTCTTGAAAGGAAAAGCAAAACGTCCATTCTCGGTTCATTCATTTTCGCAGCTGAAAAGAGCAACCCAATTTACAGGTAGCATCACAATTAAACCCAACATTTCTGTTGCTCAATGAGACGGTTGTTAAGTGAGCTTTGCCCCGTTTTACGACCTTGCTTGCCACAGTGATTAGCAATAGCGATAGCCCTTATATACCGCTTCACGGTGCTTTACAGCCCTCTGTAAGCGGTTTACAGAGTCAGCCTCTTGCCCCAACAATCTGGGTCCTCGTTTTACGGACCTTGGAAGGACGGAAGGCTGAGTCAACCTGGAGCCAGTGAGATTCGAACTCCTGGCAGAGAGTGGGCAGAGTTAGCCTGCAATACTGCTTTCTAACCACTGGGAAGGAAGGAAGGAAGGAAGGAAGGAAGGAAGGAAGGAAGGAAGGAAGGAAGGAAGGAAGGAAGGAAGGAAGGAAGGAAGGAAGGAAGGAAGGAAAGGAAGGAAAGGAAGGAAGGAAGGAAGGAAGGAAGGAAGGAAGGAAGGAAGGAAGGCAATAGCCATAGCCCTTAGACTTATATACAGCTTCACGGTGCTTCACAGCCCTCTCTAAGCGGTTTACAGAGTCAGCATCTTGCCCCCCCAACAATCTGGGTCCTCGTTTTACCGACCTTGGAAGGACAGAAGCAAGGGTGGGCTGCTGGTGGTTCGTAGGGGTTTGGGAGAATCTCTAGCTAAGATTCTATGCAGTTCGGAGAACCCCCAAATCCCCACCCATCCTGTCCTGCCACTCCCAGGAGTCTCCACACGGCCCGTTTCGGATGTAGGTAAGTGCAGGATGCCTGCGGAGGCTCAGGGAGGGTGAAAAACGGGCCTACCTGAAGTTTTCGGCCTCCAGAGGGCCTTTGGAGCTTGGGGAAGCCGTTTTCACCCTCCCGGAGGCTCGAGAAATGCCCCCCACCCCATGGTGCAGGAGGCTGACTACTCCACGCCCACTCACACCGTTCTAGATCTTCAGAGTTGTGATTGAACAAGTTCTAAACTTAATTCCTTCTCTGCCTTTCTGAATATATGCTCACCTGGGGCTCGTCACGTCTTGGGGCACCTGGAACCATTCCTGCAGCTTGCTCTCCAGCCCTACGCCCACTTTGACCAGGTAGGAACTGGGATCCACGCAACAGGCCCAATAGCTGCGTCCTTGAGTGACCGCCACGTCGCCGATCACCAGGTCAACGGAGAGATGGCAGCTGGTCATCAAACGCTCGGCGGCAAACAGCATTGGAAGACCGGGAACGCTGCGGACCGCTCGCTGGTCCTTGCTAATGGCCAGGCGTTCTCGGTTGAAACCCCACCGATTGTCCAGAAAGAAATTCAGCACTTGGGGGAAGGAAGAGGGGATGGGAGAAGAAAGCGAGGAACAAATAATTAGAAAGAGCCTAAACCATATGAGAACAGGAGCTGTGAGAATATAGGAAGAGCCTAAACAGGCGATGGTGAATCTATGGCACGCGTGTCACAGGTGGCACACAGAGCCCTCTCTGTGGGTACGCATGCCGTTGCCAGCTGCTCTTCTGGTTTCCGGCGTGCACATGTATGCCAGCCAGCTGGTCTTCGTGAGTGCCAGAGCGCCGGAAAATGGTCTGAAAATGGCCCAAAAAATGGCCCCCAAAACAGGCCTGAAAATGGCCCCCAAACAGCCTGAAAAATGGCCAAATAACAAGCATGAAAATGACCAGAAAAACAGCCTCAAAATGGCCCAAAAAACGGTCCAAAACGGCCAAAAAACAGGCATGAAAATGGCCAGAAAAACAGCCTGAAAATGGCCCGAAAACACCCCCAAAATAGCCTGGAAAATGACCTGAAAACGGCAAAAAATGGCCAAAAAACAGGCATGAAAATGGCTGGAAAAACAGCCTGAAAATGGCCCTAAAACAGGCATGAAAATGGCCTGAAAATGGACCTGAAAAACAGCCTGAAAATGGCTCAAAAACAGGCCTGAAAACGGCCCAAAACAGGCTGAAAACGGCCAAAACAGCCTGAAAAACAGCCCCAAAACAGGCCTGAAAACGGCCAAAAACAGCCTGAAAAACAGCCCAAAACAGGCCGAAAACACCCCAAATAGCCTGAAAATGACCTGAAAACGGCCAAAAAAATGGCCAAAAAACAGGCATGAAAATGGCTGGAAAAACAGCCTGAAAATGGCCCTAAAACAGGCATGAAAATGGCCTGAAAATGACCTGAAAAACAGCCTGAAAATGGCTCAAAAACAGGCCTGAAAACGGCCCCAAAACGGCCTGAAAAACCGCCCCAAAACAGGCCTGAAAACGGCCCCAAAACAGCCTGAAAAACGGCCTGAAAATGACCTGAAAAACAGCCTGAAAACGGCCCAAAAACAGCCTGAAAAACAGCCCCAAAACAGGCCTGAAAACAGCCCAAAAACAGCCTGGAAAACAGCCTGAGAATGACCTGAAAATGGCCTGAAAATGGCCCAAAAACAGGCCTGAAAACGGCCCCAAAACGGCCTGAAAAACCGCCCCAAAACAGGCCTGAAAACGGCCCAAAAACAGCCTGAAAAACGGCCTGAAAATGACCTGAAAAACAGCCTGAAAACAGCCCAAAAACAGCCTGAAAAACGGCCCCCAAACAGGCCTGAAAACAGCCCAAAAACAGCCTGAAAATGACCTGAAAAATGGCCTGAAAACGGCCCAAAAACAGCCTGAAAAAACAGGCGTGCGTGCGCCAGCCAGTTGGTCCTCAGGTTCCGGGTGCTCCGGCTTGTGCACATGCACACAATTTCATTGGAAGGCCATCATTCAAAATACCCAACGGAATATTTTTGTATATCATTTTTATATATCTCGTTTTTTCTACGTGTTTCACTTTTCTTCTTTATACTGCAACTGCTATAGCAAGTCCTTCCTAAAAGTTATTTCATTACATTCTTGATTAAATTATCTTTCCATGGATATATCATTTTATGGTACTACTCCCCCCGAAAAAAGTGGTGTTATTAGCTAGTTTTAGAAAATACACTTTTCCCAAAAGGTTTCCACAATTTTGGCCGCTACTGGAGTGTTCAACTTACAACCATCCGTTGTGTGACTGTTCAAAGTTACAACAGCACTGGAAAAAGGAAAAACGCGAGATGAGGAAAACGAGAAAGGAGGGTTTACCGGGTGCAGGCGGCGTACGCAGATAGATATCCTCGCTGTAGTCTCCGAAGCCAGCTTTGTTGTATCCTCGGACGCGCAGCACGTAAACGCTATCCGTGTCCACGTACTCCACAACGGCGCTCGTGCCTCGGACCTCTTCCTGTCTCTGCCACAGTTTGAGTGCCTTGCCCTTGGGCTCGGCCCGCCGGAACTCCACCGTGTAGTGCCAGGCGGCTGGCGAATGCTGCGGCAGGCGCCAGCAGAGGAAGATCTGGTCGTAGGCGTACGTCCGCTGCGTGTCGATCACAGGAGCCTCCGGGGCTGCAACGGGAGGGAAGAGGAGAGGAAGGCGCATGACGTCAGACCGCAAGCTGCGCGGCGCGGCTGAGCGCTTTGCAGACTGACCGCAGACGACCAGGTACGAGGTCCCGAAGTACCGAGAAGAAACGGGCGTGTTCCGCGGAGGAACATCGGAAGGGGAGAGGGACAAGAATCAAGGGGGACAGGCAAGCTGCTGAGAAGAATCCGGGGGGGCACAAGAGAGACTGAGTGCAAGTCAGGGAAAAAATCAGAGGAAGAGGCGGAGGAGGGAAGAGAAAGAGAGAGAGACGGAGAGTGAGAAAAACGAGAGAAGGGTGCAAGGATACAGGAGGAGAGATGCCGAAAATAAAGGAAAGGATTTGGGACACCATTGAAACTAATCAAAATTAAGCTTTTTGGCTCCAACACGGTTCCCGTAGAGGCCAAAATAACCAGGATTCCCGTCGTCTACCGGACTCCCTGGTGGTTGTTGTTTTGTCCCAAATAAATTAAGCAATGGATTTACAGGAAGACAGCAAGCAACAGATGATGATTAGAAGTAAGCTTATCTTTTGCACTTAGGGGTGCCTTTAGCTGGTTATGCGAAGGCACTTTTTGCTCTGTCATCTGGTTAAATCTGCAAATAAGTCAAGGCTTTGGAACTCGCGCCGTACAGAAGGACAAGAGGTTCTGTTGAACTACAGGTCCCATAATGCACCCCTAGCATGGCCCTGCTGGTGGAGAGGATAATGGGTACCGGTGGCCTACGTTTATATAGAGCATCAGGTTGGGGAAAGCAAGTCTTGAAGATGTCAATATGAAAGACTTGGCAACAGGACACCAAAGCAAGAATGACATGGGGTGGGGTTTTTTGTGCCAGCCACCTGTTGGTGCCCATTCTCTGGTACTCCATTCCCTCTCTCTCGATCATATCTAACCTTGTTTTGCCTTCTTTTGGGGACTCCACAGCCAGGTTTCCACTGCCGAGAAGATCACTGGAGGTTTTTAAGAAGAAACTAGACAGTCGCTTATCTGAAATGGCATCGGTACTCCTGCTTCAGCAGGGGGCTCGACTAGAAGATCTCCAAGATCCCTTCCCGCTCTATTCTATTCTAAAGACCTCTTACGCAATCCACTGGCCTCCTCCATAAACACGCCTTCCCTCCATAAACCCAATTCCCATCCAGGTTCAGTCCAACTGAACCAGGATAACAAAAATTTTGACAAACTTAAGCCATGGTTTCTTTGTTTCGCAAAAATTAGGGAGAGGCCGCCGAGGGGAACTGCAGGGAGCCGTGGCGGGTAGGAAAAGCCTTCAGAACGCTTTCGATCGGAAACTCTTGGTGCAAATAAGCATTCCAGCATTCTAAGCCCTCGCGGAGGCTCTTCCGGCCTTCATGAGGACTAGAACGTTTATTTCAACAAGGGTTTGAATTAAGGTCCCAAAACGAAGGTCTGAGGACGGAAAGGGAGAAGGGAGAGGCAGGGATGGATGCAATGGAAGGGTTGAGGAGAAGAAAGAGAAGTGTGGGGAGGGGGAGAAGGATCGGGGCGGGACGGGATCGGTGGAGTGGGACGTGACTTGCCTCAGTTTTAACTGCGGTGATGTCTCAGCAGCAGACCCAGCCTATAAACAAAGAGAGGTAAAGCAGAGGGGTCAACAGCCACGCACCTGGCAGGAGTGGGCCGTGGTGGGGTGGGCGGAGGGCGGGCTTCGACCCGGCGGGAAACCAAAATTAAACTCGTGATCTCCAACACGGTTCCCGTGGGAGCCAAAACAACCAGGATTCCCGCTGTCTACCGGACGCTCTAGTAGCTGTTGTTTTGCCCTACATCAATCCATTTTGAAACTACGGGCCGTTCCCGACTTGCGACCGCTCATTTAGCGACCGTTGGGAGTTACCACGGCCCTGGAAAAAAAAGCGAGTTTCTCGGACGTACACCCGCGGCGGTAGCCCCGTGTATTTCACAATTCAGGCGCTTGGCAACGGACCCCGTATTTAGGATGGGCGCAGCGTCCGAGGGCCGTGCGATCCCTTTCGGTGACGAATGGGTCGGTCAACGGCCAAAAACACCTCAGAGAATTGGGCCGTGGGGTGGGCAGGCTCTGTGGCTCGAACTTGGGGCCGGCTGTGGATTATGGATCGCATCCGGGCCAGGGGAGAAAGAGGGAAGCTGGCTGGCTGGGGCAAAGGGACCCTGAGAATTACAAATGATACAAGCGATGGGAATCAAAGCATCGGAAAGGATTTCAGGTACTCCCGTCCGCAGGTGAGGGACAGGTAAGGGCCAAGGTGGACTCACCACCACGCCGACGGTTCCAGGCTCCAAGGTCTTTCCGCTCTTCCACAGGTCATGCAACACATATACACAACACAACAAAAAAACAACACAGTACGTGCCCCGAGAGGCTCACAGTACAGAGTTGGTACTCCAGTTGCAGGAAACTCTTGAGATATTCAAGTCTTTTGATCTACAGCAGCGATTCCCAACCTTGGCAACTTTAAGAGGGGTGGACTTCAACTCCCAGAATCCCCCAGCCAGCTTGTTTTAAGAGGGGTGGACTCCAACTCCCAGAATCCCCCAGCCAGCTTGTTTTAAGAAGGGTGAACTTCAACTCCCAGAATCCCCCAGCCAGCTTGTTTTAAGAGGGGTGAACTTCAACTCCCAGAATCCCCTAGCCTGCATGCTTTAAGATGAGTGGACTTCAACTCCCAGAATCCCCCAGCCAGAAGGGGAAGATGTATAGACTTTGACATGACTGGCTGGGGAATTCTGGGAGTCGAAGTCCACACATCTTAAAATCGCCAAGGTTGAGAAATCTACACGGGTACTTACAACCCCGTCCAAAGCACTCTGAAACTATATTGGTAACAACCAGCACGCCTGACAGTTACAGGTCATCCTTGTTTAGCGACCGCCGTGGGAACCAACAACGGGGCCGTTAAACGAGGCAGTCACTAAGTAGAACGTCGACCGTGCTAATGATCTGTTTGCTTTACAAGACCTGCGAAGGTCTTCAATGCAAGGAATGGTTGCAAGGTTACTTTCTCGTCACGGGTCGTCACTGCGAATGGTCGCTAAAAGGAGGCAGTCGCTAAACGAGGACCGCCTGTAGCGACTTGAAAACGATGACGGCGGCCATAGAAACAGGGCAATGTCTGTCAGAAATGGAAGCCGTAGTTGGCCGCTAATCTATAAACTGCCGTTTTAATTTTGGGGGGAGAGAAATTAAAATTTTTGTCGTAGCCGGAAGGAAGAAGGCCAAGCATCATTTAATGACGGCTTTTTACGCACCTTTAATAAAAATTAGGTCTGTAAGCAGCTTCACTTCTCGGCTCACGTCCACCTGGAATTGGCTGAAGGAGGCGCTAGCCGCTGGCCGGAACGCCTGAAGGGAATCGGTCGCTCTGAGGATCCTGTCGTAAAGGCGGAGCAGCCCAGATGAGAGCAGGAAAAATAAATCAAGAATCGGGGGGGGGGGGGAAATTAGTCTCTGAATATAGATAAACCACCATCACTTACTGGATTGTGAGAGACAATACGCACGCACATTTATATTGTACAAGAAGTCCTCGATTTACGGCCACAATGGAGCCCCAAACTTTCCGTCACTAAGTGAGACGTTGGTCGAGTGAATTTGGAAAAACCGTCACTTTTTTTCAGTGTCGTTGTGACCTTCAACGGTCACTAAATGAATTGTCATTAAGCCGAGGACTAACTATATACACGTACATTGACACTGTACAGGCAGTCCCTCAACTTATGACCACAATTGGGTCCGAATTTTCCACTATGAAGTCCTAAGTCGAATCGGACCTGATTTGATCAATTTTTACCGCTGTTAAAAATGTGTCATCAAATCAAGTCCGACTCGACTTACGGCCGCCGTGACTGACAGTGGAATCGTACAGTTGTTAAGCGAATCACAGCCGCTAAGTGAATCCAGCCCGCAAAATGACTTAACGCAATCACCGACAGTGGATTCATACAGTTGTTAAGCGAATCAGATGGCCGTTAAATGAATCCCGCCCGCAAAATGACTTACCACGATCACCGACAGTGGGATCGTACCGTTGTTAAGCAAATCAGAGGGTTGTTAAGTGAATCCAACTGGCAAAATGACTTACCGCAATCACCGACAGTGGGATCGTACAGTCATTAAGCGGATCAGACGGTCGCTAAGTGAATCCAGCCTCCCCAATGGGTTTTTTTGGGGTTGTTGGTTTTTTTTGCTGTTTTTCGGCAAAACGCACCTGTGATGAAGCTGCTTGGCGGCCTGGACGAAACAGGGCTGGTCGGTTTCCTTTAAGACTTCTTGTGAGTAGCCCACCATTCCAGAATTTTCCATCATGGCCTGATGTTCCTGCAGCTGAGTTTGTAGGCGACCGACCCGGTCTTGGCGACAATCTTCGATGGCGTTAAGCAGGGCGGATCGCTTCTCATCCAGCAGGCTGCTTAAATTGTTCATCAGCCTTATGATCTCTTCCTTCGCCTGAGTGCCATTCACCTGCGAGGAAATTTGACAGCTTGACAATACGGGGAGGGGAAGGCGCACAATGAAGGTTACTGCAAAATCCCCATTCCCACCCCACTCCAGGGAAAGGATACTGGAAAATCCCCATTCCCTCCCCACTCCTGGGGGAAGGATACTGGAAAATCCCCATTCCCACCTCACTCCAGGGGAAGGATACTGCAAAATCCCCATTCCCCCCCACTCCAGGGGAAGATACTGCAAAATCCCCATTCCCTCCCCACTCCAGGAGAAGGATACTGCAAAATCCCCATTCCCTCCCCACTCCTGGGGGAAGGATACTGCAAAATCCCCATTCCCACCTCACTCCAGGGGAAAGATACTGCAAAATCCCCTTTCCCTCCCCACTCCTGGAAGGATACTGCAAAATCCCCATTCCCACCTCACTCCAGGGGAAAGATACTGCAAAATCCCCATTCCCTCCCCGCTCCTGGGAGAAGGATACTGCAAAATCCCCATTCCCACCCCACTCCAGAGGAAGGATACTGCAAAATCCCTATTCCCACCCCAATCTGGGGCCAGCCAGAGGTGGCATTTGCCGGTTCTCCGAACTACTCAAAATTTCCGCTACCGGTTCTCCAGAACCTGTCAGAACCTGCTGGATTTCACTCCTGGTTCAACCCCAACAAAATAACAACGAAAAGCAACGTTACCTCCGTGAGTCGAAGAGTCTCTTCTAATTCGTTGATTTGTGACTGCACCGTGTCTTGATTGCTCAGGATATAAGTTAGGCTTTTCGTCAATTTTTCCTGCGAGCGAGAAAAAAACGGAGTGACGTAACTGGGCAGAGGGAGTGATCCTACAGACCCCTGATCTCTATCAGGCTCCAAAACCCAGTTGCACGGAAAAAAAAACAGGAGATGTGTTCCCATAATCCACTCCAGGTCCCTTCCAAAGATTGTGTAATAATTGTGTTTCTATTTAGTGGCCGATTAAAACGTCAAGGATTGGAGACGGGGGGGGGGGAAATATGAGCTTCTACAAAATTCTCACCTTAAGAGCCTGGTAGGCGCTGAGCACAGGCGTGATTTTATGACTCGCGTGGGTGCGACGAACTCGACACAACTGGCACACCAAACGCTGGCAGGTTTTACAGTAATGAGTGACTTCTTCTCGGTGTTCGGGACACAGCAAACCCTGCAAAGAACATCCGTCTGCAGTTACAACGCTGATGAAAAAGTAATTTGTCGGCCAATCCTCGTGTTTGTGACCTTTGTTAAGCAAAAGAAAGCTGGAAGGAAGATTGTCAGTTGTGGTTTTATTTCGCCAATTGTGGTCACTAAACGAGGACGATCCTTAGACGTTGTTTTTGAACCTTCCTGTCGCCAATGTGGAGGGTTTTTTTTCAGCAGATATATTCTCATCGTGCCCAGAAGACAAATATTTCTCTCTCTGGGCACAATGAGAATATATCTGCTGAACAAAACTCCGCTCTGGCAACAAGAAGGGCATCCGGCCAGTAAACACTCAACTCCATTTAGTTGCCTCGATTCCATCCTGCAAGGGATTATTAAAAGAAGATGAACTAAAAGTAGAATACGAACCTTACGAAATAAAAACATGAATGGGGTGTTCAAATCTAAGAAATGAAAACACGAATGTTTTCCTTCGGAACTAAGGTATAAAAATAGATATAGACACAGAAAAGAGAGTTGGAAGGGACCTGGGAGGTCATTTAGTCTTCAGGAAAGGAATTGGGGGGGCACATTTTGAGCCCTCGAAGACGAGAGGGGAGCCTTACTTTGGGACGGAAAGTGAGCGTTGGAGGGATCGGTTCGTGCTGTGCTTTCTGCGTCCCCCACGGGTGGTAAAGTTTGAAGCATTCGTTGCAAAAGCTGGACCTGCACTCGGTGCAGCCCTTGGTGGCTTCCAGCTGCGGCGGCTTGCAGAACTGGCACATGATGGCCGCGTTGACGTTGATGGTGTGGCGGTAACGCTCCACCACCCGTTCCAGCGTCAGGTTCCGGAAGAGGCTGCCCAAACCTCGCTCGCCCAGGTCCACGTCTCGTTGGCACAGCGGGCACGGAAAGAGAATGCTCTGGGGGTGCAAGGCGCCACCCCGTTTCCGGCCGGGATACGTGCCGAAACCTGGGTGGAATGGAAAACGGGGAACATTATTACAAAGGAGAGTGGTGCGGAGTTCTCACCTCCCAATCAAGAGGCTGCGAGTTCGATCCTAGGTAGAGGATCTCTCTCTGGGCACAATGAGGATATATATCTGCCGAACAAAACTCCTCACTGGAAACAGGAAAGGCATCCGGCCATTAAAAACACTCTGCTGGCTCCTTTCAGTTGCCCAGACTCCACCCCACAAGCAATTATGGGGTCGTTAAAAGATGATGATGATGATAATTACAAAGAAGAAATATGTTTTCCGGATGTTACTTAGGAGATTGACAAAGGAGGACTGCTCCGGGCAGGAGCAGTCTATCTCTAAGCAATCAGATGGAAAGATCCGTTTAGGGATCTTCTCTCTCTCTCTCTCCACAATTGCTTTTGTCTGGTTTTGGATTCCTCTCCAAATGTGGATTTGGTGCCCTCGAGATATTGTCAACTCAATACTTGGCAGCCGTATATAGCTAGTCCTCGACTTATGACAGCTCGTCTGGCGACTGTTCGAAGTTACAACGGCAGTGAAAAAAGTGACCTTCGGACCGCTTTTCACACTGACGACATGGCAGCATCCCTGCGATCAATCCTCTTTTAACGACCCCATCATCTGGGCAACTGAATGGAACTGACTGTTTACTGGCCCGATGCCCTTCCTGTCACCAGTGCGGAGTCTTTTTTCCCAGCAGATATATTCTCAGAGTGCCCAGAGAGAGAGAAATAGCTGCCTCTACCTAGGATCCCTGCGAACATGTGGTCAAAATTCAGACGCTTGCCCCTCCCCCTGCCGACTCCTATTTATGAAGAGGTTGCAGCGTCCCGTGGTCCCGTTTTGCGACCGTCTGACAAGGACAGTCAACGGGGACGCCAGATTCACCTCACGACCAAGTTCCTGACTTAACGACGGCAGGGGATTCATTTAACTGGGTCGTAAAATGGAGCGGAACCTCCCTTAGCCACTGTCTTACTTAGCGCCAGAAACATTGGGATCCAATTGCGGTCATAAGTCAAGGACTGCCTTGTATTTTCAAAGATCCAATCGGACAGGAAGTCCAAAAGAAGAGTACCCGATTTCAGAAGCCGGTCTAACCGCTCCGGTTTTGGCACGATCCGGCGCCCTAAACGAGGACTCCGTGTGGCTGGTGTGGACGCCGGGGAGGTTGGCTCCGAGGTGGGGTCCGGACAGATGTAACCCTGCTGCAGAAGGACTTCGGTGGCGCAGATGTGGCAAACGTTATGCATGCATGGCAAAACCAGAGGTTGCTTGTACATTTCTTTGCAGACTGGGCACAGCAGTTCTCGCTCCATATTTTTTATGCTCGTCTGCAAAAAAAAAAGGAAAAAAAGAAAAGGAAAAAGAAAAGAGGAGGGAGGAGAGTTGGAAGGGGGGGAAAAAACCAAAAGCGCCATATCTGCAAATAATTGTGCTCTATTTTGGTACCCGCCACGAGATCGGATCAGCTGTTATAGGGGGTCCTTGTAAAATTTATTTGTAATCCCGCCTTTATTAGGTTTAAAAGTCATTCAAGGTGACTAAATGTATCCAACACGCCTTCCTCCTGCTCTTTCTACCCCGCAAAAAAACGACAACCTTGTGAGGTGAGGTGGGTTGGGCTGAGATGGATGGGCTCAAGGTCGCCCAGCTGGTTTTCAGGGCTAAGGCGGGACTTGAACTCCCCGTCTCCTGGTGATTGGTCCAAATTCCACCTAAATGGCTTTCATGCCTAAAGTAGGATTAGAACTCCCATCTCCTGGTGATTGGTCTGAATTCCACCTAAATGGCTTTTATGCCTAAGGCGGGACTAGAACTCCCAGTCTCCTGGTGATTGGCCCACAGTCACCCATTTGGCTTTCGTGGCTAAGGCGGAACTAGAACTCCCATCTCCTGGTGATTAGTCCGAAGTCCACCTAATTGGCTTTTATGCCTAAAGCGGGACTACAACTCCCAGTCTCCTGGTGATTGGCCCACAGTCACCCATTTGGCTTTCGTGGCTAAGGCGAAACTAGAACTCCCCGTCTCCTGGTGATTGGTCTGAAGTCCACCTAATTGGCTTTCATGCCTAAAGCGGGACTAGAACTCCCCGTCTCCTGGTGATTGGTCCGAAGTCCACCTAATTGGCTTTCATGCCTAAGGCAGGACTAGAACTCGCATCTCCCACTTCCTAGCCTTGTGCATTCACCATTAGACCAAACCGGCAAACAGCGAAAAATCAGCTGCTGAGGACGATGGGACTTGCAATCCAGAAGCCCCCCCAGGCTTTTGCTGGAGCTGAACCCCAGATTTCCCCCCCCCACACACACACACACAATAAACCCAACAAAGTAATTAGGACTCCATCTTGGCTTGCTAAGAATAACCCCGACATGTTTTACAGCTCAAGAGAGCGTTTCAAGAGGCTCTTCGGAATGCAGCCAATCAATCAGAAAAAAAGAACATTTCCTTTCTCTCTCTTTCATAAAAGGAAAAAAAAAAAGGCAACCTTAGGAGAACTTCCATGTCCAGGAGCAATCTATCTGCAAAGACCAGGTTCTGATGGATTGAAGAAGGAGAAGGAGAAGGAGAAGGAGAAGGAGGAGAAGGAGAAGGAGAAGGAGAAGGAGAAGGAGAAGGAGAAGGAGAAGGAGAAGAAGAAGAAGAAGAAGAAGAAGAAGAAGAAGAAGAAGAAGAAG